AGTACTTCTATTAGATGTACTTGGAACCATTATATTAGATGTACCGGACAGAGATCTTAGATCATGCATGGTCCCTGCACCAAACGCAGCCTTCAGATACTTTGTGTTGAGTTCCATCTTGCATGTTCTATAAGATTTAAGCCAGCATTTCCCCCATTCCTTGAGATCAGGCATTAGCATAAACAGTCAAAGTGCATAGTCAAGAACTTTAACCTTTTCAACCGTGCAAGTAACCTCGAGCATCAAGTTCTTTTATAAAAGATCCAAATGGGGTGAGTTCATGTCGTCTCAGAAAAATCAACAAGTGCACAGGAATCTACTAACATATATCTGCTAGCACAAAGGTGTGATCTTAACCAGAGAACTTGAAATGATTAGACGAATATTTGATGTGCCATCAAAAAAAGAATTTCTCATTAGTTAACAATTTGAAGCAGCTAGTCTTGCAGCAAACGCTTTATAGTTGGATTCTGTAACAGTCATCAAAATTATATTATCTACAAATCATCATAGAACATAGATGGGAGCGGTCTATTCAAAGGGGGCCCGAGGTTCCTCCAACCATTTTGCACGGAAGCCTGTGCCTTTGCAATCAGGGCAAGAAGCAGAACCCTGGACGAAAACCACAAGAAGTTTGTCACTATATTAGTCTGCCAGAAAATGTGAGGCTTATCATGTTTACCATATTAGATTACCTTTCCCATGCATATAACACAGGTGGTATTTCTAGAAGGCACTTCACATAGCATTTTATTGCCAAGGATAAAGAAGTTGGAGTTGGCTGCTGCTCCATGTGCACATGCAAATAAGATAATTAGGTCATTCCAAAAATCTTATACTTCCAAATGAACAAAAGGTAAAAAATTGAAGCCTATTTAGACAAGATCAGGAACACTAGCAAACAGTAAGAAAGATTGTTTAAGCATTCTTGCTAACAATGTTTCTTGTTCCAGAGGGTGTGAAGAACACTTGACAAACAAGAGCAACTGCTAATACATTTTTTTAAAGAAGTTCTAATCAGAACTAAAGAAGCATGATCAAGAGGCTAAAATGATAGCAATTTGCACATGGCATTCCTAGACTTGTAAGCCTATCACCAGAACCAATTAAGGAAATAGCAAGTTCCCACATGGCAAGATAAAAACACAGACACTGATCTTGCATATAATTGCAATGAACATACGGCCACAGCTCCAACATTGACTTGTCCACTCTTTAAGGACTCAAACATGAAACCCAATAGAAATTATTTAAATGATCCATCTGAAGGAGCTCCAATCATCCTCCTAGAAACTCTTTGCCTACATTTCTTGCTGAGCCATGTCAGCAATACACATGTTTACCAAGGTGACTTAACATCAGAGGTAAATTCTACATCAAGACGATATGATACACAATTGCTTGTAGTCTCACCTAACAGTTATGAAAAACATAAACTGAACAAACAAGTAAAACTAGACAACAGGCTATTTGTTTTCATGAGAAAATATTTTAATCCTTTTCTCACATCCTCAAGGGTGGACTTCAACAAGTTGCTCCTTTGACATGGGAGATCAAACTCTCGATCTAGACCAGGGCCTCGCCTCTTCCCAAATCCTCAGAAGAATATATTATTTTCCTCATGAGTATAAAACAAGCAGAAAATTTGTATTTCAATTGTTAAGAGAAGCCGTAAAGTTCCCAATCCTTTTGTTTTCCCAAGTACAAAATTCAGGTTCCACTTAGTGAAACCCATCAAATAGTTTGCTACAGTGGTTCATTAGGGTTAACCACAAACAGTATGAAGTTGCACCAGTCCTTTTTACGTGATGGACTTTTAAATTTTCATTGATGAAGACATGCTTTCACAGTACCTGACCAAATTCCTAGTCAGCGCTACTGTATTAGACCAACATTTAAAAATTTTGGCATGACAGTGTTCAGCGGTCATGAGGAGGCTATAACCAACTATCAATAAGTGAAACAAAGAAATCATTTTAGTTACCTGACACTGCCATGTTACTAGTGATGATGGTTACAAACTTCAATGGCATCCTAGAACCCTCATATATGTAGAAGAGACAACTGCTCGTAAACATTAACTTACTGAATAACTGGGTTAATAGAGTGGTTGACATGAATAACTTGAATGCACAACAGTGAGGTTACTTCTCTCGTGATAGGACAAGTCTGAGAGGTAAATACCTAATTATTAATACTGAACATCACAGAATCCACAACTAACAATGACTTAAAGTAATTTGCAAAACATTTTGGTTGAGCAGCATTATAGATGGATTCATAGTTCTATAAATCCTAAGGAATCTGATAACTGATTTCTTTGTTATATTAGGACTGAACTGAATGAAGCTAAAAAAACATTGATCAGCTCGATTCTTCTACATTGAAGCACAACGAGAGTTATTCACAGAATTTAGAAGCCCAACTAACGAATAGCATTCCTCAGATTTACAAGAGAGACATGAAGAAAAATTAAGATCATTCAACATTTCAATTGCATACCGACTATCAAGAAAAATAAATCCACATAAGCACTTCATTGCCATAGTCCTCTATCTTAGTGGCGATTACATACCTTAAATAAGATTGTAACCATATCATGGCCCACAAGCCTCTTACTATTCACAACATACAATGATGCTGGTTTTGAAGCAAACATTCCAGCGTATACGTCCTAATTCCTGTGTGGTGTCAGAAACTTCGTCTCCACTTAGTAATGTTTCAACAATTGAGATATATAGATCGGGAAGTTTTGATCTTGACAACGTATATTGCCACAAATGAGGATACTCTACGTCTATCAACGAACCTCAAAGGAATAAGCTAAAATTCAGACACCAACCCAACAAAATCTCGATTTCATCAGTCAAGCATCAAAAGGAGGGAAAAATCTCACCTTTGTCCAATAAAGAGGGCCTAAACAATAGCCCTAGCATCGCAAAGGATAACAAAATTGAGCAGCGAAGGAGAGACAGATGGGGAGAAGAAGCAATCAAAGCGTACCTGAGAGATGAGCCAGGCGCGCTCCATGCGCTTGGCGAACCTGGAAGAGCTCTCGGATAAATCGACCACCGAGGCTCTGACAAGGAGCGCCGGAACCTTCCGGAGGCGCCCAGAAGGGGCAGCCGCAACGGAGGAGCCGCTCCACCCGCCAAGGCTCCGGGGAGGAAGAAGGGGCTTCGTCAGCACGGAAGGGAGGGGCCCGCAGAGAGAGCAACAGGTGATCGCCATTGGTGACCTTCCTCCCCCCTTCGACGTCTTCTTCCTCTTTTATAACCCTTTTTGTCGTCGATAGACTCGAGTTCCACTCACCCGCGGATGTACGTACGATAGCTATATTAGTCACCGTGTAACGCTAACGTACAATGGGGAATTGATCGAAGTTATGAATCACGATAGTATAAGTATACCTAGAGGACAGCATATCCTATACAATTAGAATAGGATGACAACATAGAACAATTTAAATGTCAAAAAAGAAGAATATTTGTTGACTAAATTTAGAGAGATGAAGAATTCTAATTGTTCTTCTTCTGTCTTTTGTTCTATCAATATAATATAGATGGTTGAAAATTTGAATATAATATCTGTTATGGTAAGTAACTTTTTTAGCCGTGACCTCGGGATCGACGCGGTTGGTTCAGGGGTCCGAATGGCCGGGATCAGGCGTGGCTCTTCTCGGGGGCTTAGGTGGCCGATTGCGGGGGTCTGGCTGGAAAGTTCCGCAACGCCTGGTTGGATCGGCTTCCGTCGAGTACCTGTACACAGGTCGGGTCGGTGGTTCGGCCCAACCCCTCCAACGATCTAGTCAGTAATTGAGAGAGGAGTTTTTGGGTCCAGTCGTTCCCCCCCCCCCTCCGTTTGGAGCCCGGGAGTATTTATAGGTGAGTTTGATTGTACCTGATGTGCCACCCTACCGGGTCAGGGCCGTACCTCCTGGCGCCTGTCATCGTTGTAGGCGTTGCGTGGAAGGCCGAGCTGCCGCAAGACATGGTGAGCCTCAGTCGATGCCTTCCCTTGTCTCGGCCGGTCGGGCGGGGTCAGATGATGAGGTCGTCTGGGTACGGTGAGTGAGGGTGCACACTACGTTGGTGTTAATGCTTGCCCCCTGGGGCAGTGTGCCGTCCAGGGGTGGCTGGCGTCGTGGTGTATTACGTCAAATCTGTTCTTACCCCTATCAATATCTATCAATGCCGTCCGAACTCAACCCAATTTTGAATGTTATATTGATTTCATCGTTTTCTTAGTCAAAATTGATGAAATCTTATATGATCAGATTTGTCGCTGACACAGATGGCTGCTACCAGTTACGAATTTGGATCCTCTACAAGCATCTCAGTGGCGCCATGGCGGTGCCACGAAACACGAGAGGAGCTCCTCCCATTCTTACGTGGGAGACGAAGCAGCAGGAAACGCCATGTCCGGAATCATTGGGCAGGAAGATGCTGTCCTTGTTACTCATCGACACCCTGTTTGCATCTCTGCTACGAAATCGCCATGAAATTTACAGCACTGCACTACGATCACCTAAAAAGAAACGGTATCCAAAGCAGTCATTTATTTCTACT